CGAGACCGTCATGTATACGGCGCTGCTGCGGCTGCCCGAGTCGATGCCGCGCGCCGAGAAGCTGCGTCTCGTCGATCATATACTGGATACCCTGGAGCTCAGCTGCTGTCAGCAGACCAAGTTTGGTGATTATCTCAATCGCGGCCTCTCCGGCGGCGAGAAGAAGCGTGCCAATATCGCCTGCGAACTGTTGACCAATCCGCTTCTAATGCTGCTAGATGTGAGTACAAAAGAAATTGAGCGAGAGAGAGAGAGAGATATTATAATTAAGCTGAGTTCACACTTGTTCCTCAGAATTAAACTAGTCTGAGCTCAGCTTAATTATATCTCTCTATTCTTCTTCTCTACAGCTTAAAGTCGCTGAAAATCTCAGAAATATAAGAGATATCATAATTATAGCTCAGCTTAATTATGTCTCTCTCTATTATTCTTCTCTACAGCTTAAAATCTATAAAAATCTCAGATACAGAGAGATATTTCACTTTAGCTGAGTTCAGACTAGTTCCTCAGAATTGACTAGTCTGAACTCAGCTCAGAATTGAACTAGTCTGAGCTCAGCTTAATTATATCTCGCTCTATTCTTCTTCTCTACAGTTAAAGGTCTCTACAAATCTCAGAATTTTGCCAAAAATAAAACGATTTTCATTTCTGTTCTGATCTGATTTAAATTTATTTGCAAAAATATCTTTAACGTCCATTTGTTCATTTTGTGATAGTTGTTGGAACTTACAAAATATATATTTTATTAGTTCTCATATCAAAATCGTAATTAAATTAAATAAAAGTAAATTAAATAAAAGTAATTTTGTTTTAATATTTATTAAGCTGGATGGAGTAAATATTGGGTCAAAAATTATAAAACTTTTTGTAAAGCTTTTAAATCCATTAAAATGCTGGCTCAAAAATCAGCGAGAACATTGTCAAAGTTGTAATCAATCAAAAAGCCTTGTTTGTTATTGTAAATTAAACAGTTAACGTTTTTATTTATTTTTTACTTTTTTTTTATTAATTTTTTTTACATATACATAAATATATTTTTTTTAATTTGATTTATTTGTGCTGTCACAAAGTTAATTTCTTTATTTTATTTTTAGTTTGTATTATTTATTTTTACATATTTTATTTACTTTTTTTCCCCCAGGAACCCACCTCTGGGCTGGACAGCCACTCGGCCATTTCGCTGATGAAGGTGCTGAAGCGCTACGCACAGCTGGAGCAGAAGACAATTGTGATAAGCGTACATCAGCCGTCGTCGCAGATGTTTCACATGTTTGATAAGCTGCTGCTGCTGCATCAGGGTCGCACCGCCTACTTTGGCGAGGTGAACAACATCTACAGGCACTTTGAGGATATTGGGGTGACCATCAAGCCGCACTACAATCCCGCCGACTTTGTGTGTAAGTTGTAAATTGAACTCAAATTCAAGCCGAACACATTGTTAAGACTCTGCCCCAACTTTGCTTTGCAGTGGAGCAGTTGAAATCGCATCCGGATATACGCGAAAAGCTGTTCATAGCCGCCAGGGAATCTCATGGCAACTATTTGAATCGCAATTGCATCAGCAGCCAGGACAAGTCCAAGTCCAAGCAACAGCACGACACCATACTGATCAACGACATCATCAACAACTACTACAACCAACGACATCACCAGCATCATCATCACCATCAATATGCCAATTTACATCACACGGCGAATGGCTGCGAGGCCGATGAAGAGGCTGCTCAACATTTGGTCTGGTGCGGCGCCGATTCGCAATCAAATTTCAGTTCCTGTGCCTCCAGTGATTGCCAGTCGTATCGTGCCGGCAAGAGTTCCGCCAACGACGAGGATTGGCTCTCCTATCCAACACGCTTCCATACACAGTTCACTGTGCTGTCCAGCCGCAACTTTAAGGAGGCCAAGCCACGCATGCTGTCCAAATTGAATTGGTTCCAAACAATTGGCCTGGCGCTGATGGCGGGCGCCATTTGGTTTCAGCTGCCGCGCACCGAGGAGTTCCTCCATGATCTGCAGGGCTGGATGTTCTTCTCGCAAACCTATTGGATGCTTTTTGCGCTCTTCGGTGCGCTCAATTCATGTAAGTGCGAGCTGAGAAGCCAAATGTTACTTGCTTAAATAATAGATTCATCTTTAAGCTGTCCCAATTTAATATTTTAAATATTTGCTACGTATTCATCTCTACTTTGAAAGTAGCTCTCAAAAGCTTTCAACTCATTTTTATACACAATCCCATGCTCTCATACTCTCCAAAAAGCTCGTTACGTCTTAATTAATCGCTTTTTGAACTTTCATGGGCGCCAAAGCTCTTGATTATGGTTTGCCTGCGAGATTAATCTAATACCAAGTTATATTCTTTGTATCATTTATGGGCATTCATGCATCTTAATACTTAATGCTACTACTTAACTAATCTGCTGCTTAGTAAAGCAATTAATCTCCATGGTAGCTTTAATGGGCTTTTAAATTTTTGTTATATATTTTTATTATTTCTCTATGCATAGCTTTAAGAAGTTTTATGTGCTTTGCGAGATTCATACTATACTTTAACTACTTTGAGCTTTAAACTTAATACTTAATGTGCTTAAATGTTCTTCCTATTTGTACGTTTATCAAATTACATTTACTAACATTTCTACGCATATCTTTTTAAGCTTTCTAAGCTATGCATGATTAATCTAACAAAATAACTAGACTTTGTACCTTGTGCTTAAAGCCAAATGTGCTTTCAATTGGGCATCATAAGTTTTATAATGTGAGCGTTCAGTGCCTTTTAAAGCTTTTGTGCTTTGCTTGCAAGATAGCTAAGCCTAAAATTTAATGTGCTTTTCGTTGTTACAGTTCCTTCGGAACGTGAGGTCATCAGCAAGGAGCGTCGCTCTGGCGCCTATCGCCTCTCTGCCTACTATCTGGCCAAAATGTGCGCAGAGCTGCCGCTGGTGATAACATTGCCCACTGTCTACCTCATGATTAGCTATCCCATGCTGGGCTGTAGCAGGTAAGCAACCGCGACACCAGCCACTTGTTCATTCCTCATTTGATCACTTGATACTGTTGCCACTCGCAGCCTGAAGCTCTTCTTTCTGATGCTCATCTTTTTGCTGCTGAACACGATTGTGGCGCAAAGCGTTGGCTTCTTCATTGGCGCCTGTTGCATGGACATGAATGTGAGCATTACGCTGAGTGCACTCTACACGCTTGCCACACAGCTCTTTGGCGGTTATTTATCGTCACGCATTCCGGAAGGTCTCAGCTGGATACGCTACACATCGATGATACACTATGCATACCAGAATATGCAAATACTCGAGTTTCGCGAGGGACCAGCTATAAGGTAAGCCGTAAGCCTGTCAATTGTTGAATTGAATTGTAATCCCCATTACCATATCGTTTTTGCCCGACACAGCTGTGGATCGTCGAGCAGCTATGAGATATGCAAACAACAGACAACCGAATTCATTCCATATGAGGAAATACTCAAAGCACAAAACTCCACATCGCCACTCTGGCTGAATACGCTCATACTGATGATGTTCTTTCTGGTATTTCGCGGCCTGGGCTATGCGGTGTTGCGCTATCTGCGCTGCCCCAAAAAGACGTGATAAAGCTGACAACGAACCAGTGATACGTAATTAGTGTAGCATGTGTAAATCCTATATTAAATCCACCAAACTAATTAATATCGCAACATGCTGTTGAACAAATTTCGAAACGTGCGCCCAATTTTGTGATTCGATATTCAAGCCACATTTATTATATTATATTATCTATATATATTTAGTTTATTTATAAACAATTTATCTATATATACTTTTATGTATATGGCAAACGGCAGGCGCTATACCCAAAATTTGTTGTTTGTTGCATATTGTAAACAGCAATTTTTGTTTTTGTTTTATGCATTTTAATTGTTAGCCATTTATCCTAAATCTTATTATTATTATTATCATATTATTATTATTATTATGTTGCTGCTAAAGAAAATATTTGTTTTGCATATGCGAAAAATATGTTTTAATGTACGTTTTAAATCCAAAAGTAATGCAAATTCAACAGCCCATATTATAATTATATATATTATTATTATTATTATCGCATATCGCACATATTGTACTATATATATATATATATATATTTATATATATGTATATTTAATATGCTAGAAATTTTTGTAGATTTTTGCAAATTTTTTCACTTGGGAAAAAACACTGTGATTTAGTATGCTAGTTTTTTAATTAGTTGTAAGTTGGCTGCCTAAAACCATGTAAAGCACACACATCAACAAATTGTATAAACATTATGCATAGCGTTGTATTATGTTTACAATAACTAATTATATGTAATTAAATTTATTTAATGTAACATACATGAAAAATATGCCGAAAAATAACGTACGTATTTCTATTTGAATGTATTATCGATAAGCTTGCGATAGCCACAGCTCGTGCGTGAGCACAATTTGCCCACGATCGATAGTTTTGAACGCCCCAACAAATGCTCACGTACAACAATTTATCGATGCTGGTGCAGCTGAACGAAGTCTTGGCGCGTATTTGTGTTTTATAGCCTTATTCCACTGTCCTTATTTCTTATAGCTGATATAGCTACGAAGGCAAGCGCTTACTTTATATTATAATTTTAAGTTTTAATAATGTCACATTTTTTAACATTTAAAGATTGCCAAATTCCGTAGGGTCCATTAAGCGGAGCCCCTACTTTGAGGTCGTATTTTTTGACTTTTGGAAGGAAAACTTTGCGGCACTTAGGTTAATCAAAACAACTCGATCAGCTGTTTATTTAAAGAAGCGGTACTTTTGCCACTCACATGTTATCGACAACCGACATTTGCCAATGGAACAGCAATATGTGAAATTTGAAAATGTAACATTTCTTAAGCTTAGTGGAAAAAGGCTATTATACAAATAAGCAAGCTGAAGCAAAGCAAACAGCTTTTGCCGTGTGTCTAACTTTTTCTCATTGATATAACACAAATTTATCGATTTCAATTATTGGCGCTTTTATTTAAGTTCAATCCTCAAGCATTGATTTGCCTTTGGTCTCTTTTAAAAATAGTAAGAAAAATATAAAGCAGCCTGCTGTAATAGCCGCACACGACCACATCGTGGCCGGCAGACCCCAATGTGCCATGCAAAGTGGAAAAATGTTGAGCATTAGGAATACCAACGAGCTGCATATAACAATTGCTATGGATGTGGCTCTGGCGCGTATCTGAAAACAAATAATGTATAATTTAAATGTAAGTAGAAAACAAATATTTTAAGAAAACATACCTTGAGTGGAAACATTTCGACCATCAGCACAAACAGGCAGCTAATCAAACCAATATTGCCCAGAAAGATGTCCAGCGACATAATGGCTACTGGTATCCAGCTCCACTCGGTCATATCGTAAATTCCGGCATAGTACGTGAAGAAACCAAAGACTGTCAGACATATGGCCACGCCCGCTGATGAGATCAGCATCAGAATTTTACGACCAAAGACATCGCACACAATTGTGCTCACATAGGCGCCAAGAATTTGCACTGATCCAATGATAATCGAGCTGGTATTGGGATCCATGGTGCTGCCCGACTGGGCGAACACGTCCGACATGTAGTTGACCATGGCAAAAAGGGCGCTAAACTGATTCGCAATAATTATTACCGCCGCCATGCCATAGCCCTTGAGCGCGGCTCGCGTGACTAAGGAAATAGGAAATTAATTGATGCAAGTGAAACTCAAGTTTTGCACTTACAAAAGTCATTCAGGCTGAGCGTATCCGGCATATTATCGTCCTTGGTAAGCGTCAATCTCATGTTATCAAATTCGTTTGCAGCGCGTGTCTGTTCGATTGAACTGTCGCTAGTTTTAATATTCTTATAGTACATGAAGGACTTCTTGGCGGCTTCCAGCTTGCCCTTGCGTATGAGATGCATAGGCGAGTCCCGAATGAATAATAAAACCAATATGAAATAGCTAAGCGGACCGATAAGCACTACGAATGGTATGATATGATAGGCCAGATGTGTGCCCAATATATAGCCTAGAAGTATGCCAATATTCACCGACAGCATCACCATCGATGCCAGAGTTCCTCGAATACTGTTAATGATAGATAATAAAATGCATTAATCATAGTTCTCGGCAATTCCACAATTCATAAACCATCCAAATGATTCAGACTTTGAACCACAAGAACAGTTATTCAAATATTAAATGCTATCTTTATGGCTCAGACACTTCTCGCTTGGTTAACTGTCGCGAATTTGCTACTTACTTTGGATCGGAAATTTCACTTAGAAACAATGGATGTATTAAATATATGCCGCCGCCAGTAATACCAGCCAAGAAACGACCGACGATCAGAAATTCCACGCTCTGAGCAAAGTAGACCAGAACCCAAAGACACTGAAAGAAATTTTGGGGGTTATGTAACTGAGCCAAATCAAATAACAAGTCGAAATACCGTATGTGGCAGGGCCATGAACAGCAGACACATTTTGCCGCCAATGCGATGCAGGAAAAGTCCACTCAATATGTTGCCCGTCACCGAGCCCAAGCCCAGCGCCGAGCCCACCCAGGAGACTTCATTGACGCCCAACGGCACACCAAGTGGCGAGTCCAAGGTTTGCAGCTTCCGCAACGTGGGCGAGACCCAGCCAACGCCAATGCCATGCGATATGCATATAATATTTACTGGAAGTGTTTAAAGATTGAGAGCTGTTCACAAAAGTATTACAAACTCATCTCACTTAGCACTGTGGCAAGCAATTGATGGCGATTCCTTTGGTTCAGCAAGCAATTCGAACGCTCTAAGAGATTCGTCAACATTTTTCCCTTTTTCTAGACAATTTCTAGATGGTTCAGTCTATTCAATGTGCTGTTTTATTTGCTACTGAACTTTCGCTGCTGTGAAAAATGCAATAAGATATCTCACCTGAGCCTGAGGCATCATATAGATAGCTTTGCTAATCATTTAAGCGAACTACAAAGAAGAGCCCCGTGCCAGATAAATTGCCTAATCGTATTTCTTAGTGTAGGAACACTTCGTGTTTCTTGCTATACGTTTATATCTGAACAAACAGAAGAAACTGGATAAAAGTTGGGGGCATGTTTAACATTGGCGCCCGAGCAGGGACCTAAGGTATGCTTAAACAACATACATACCTTTTCGTTTATAATTTTACCTTTTATCCTCTTTTTTATAGGGTAAATGTCTGCAGCTGCCATTATTTACATCTAACAGGGAACCATATAAAAATCAATAGCAATGGTGCCCGAGCAGGGATATTATAAAACAACGTTAAGCTGATCATAGCTCATAATGGTTAGGAATTTGACTAAAGGTATGTAAAACATCTTTAATTTTATATTAATAACTATTCGATATGGGCACCCAAGCAGGGACTCGTTGCATAATTTAAAAAAAATGCAATATACATTTTCTAGATACCAGAAATTTATTTGAAAAAAAATAAACTTAAAATATAATTCAGACGTTGCATCACATATTGCTCTTTTTGCTAGCTTCACCCTCAATCCTCAAGCATTGACTTGCCCTTGGTTTCCTTTAGGAAGAAGACAAAGTATATAAAGCCAAGTGCTGTTATGCCCGCACAGGACCACATGGTGGCCGGCACGCCCCATTGATCCATGCAAAGGGGAAAAATGTTGAGAATTATAAACACAAACGAGCTGCATATAGCAATTGCTATTGAAGCAGCTCTCGCGCGTATCTGCGGGATAAAGAAAGTCAATGGATTGAGATAGATATAATAGAAAGACCCCAACGACACGCACCTTGACCGGAAACATCTCAACCAGTAGGACAAAGAAGCAGCCAACGAGTCCAATGTTGCCCAAAAAGATGTACAGCGACATAAAGAACAGTGGGACCCAACTCCACTCACTCAAATCGTACCACTGTGCGTAGTAGGTGAAGAGGCCGAAGCACGTCAGGCTGACAACCACGCCGGCTGAGGAGATCACCAGTAGAATTCTGCGTCCCCAGATATCACAGAGAAGCGTTGTCGCATATGTGCCCATAATCTGCACAATGCCAATGATAATGGTACAGGTATCCGGATCCATGGAGGTGCCCGACAGTGCAAATATATCCGACATATAGTTGACCATGGCGAAAAGTCCACTAAATTGATTAACAATCAGAAGAACCACAGCCGAACAATAAGCCTTGAGTGCAGGTCGAGTTACTATTGGTATATATTTAAAATATAAGATCTGTAGATCGGAACTAATTAAGATAGCTTACGGAAGTCCTTGAGGGTCACCTCGTCTGAGTTCTTATCACTTTGGGTCAATGTCTGCTTCATTTCCTCAAATTCTGTGAGTGCGCCCGGCTGATTGTTATCCTTAATGTTTTTATAGTATCTGAAAGACTGCTCAGCCTCCTTGTACTTGCTCTTGCGTATGAGATGCATCGGGGAATCGCGTAAGATGAACAGCATGGATATGAAATAGCTAATTGGTAAGATGAGCACTGCGAATGGTACGATATGATAGGCCAGATGCGTGCCCAAAATGTAGCCTAGAAGTATGCCAACATTCACAGACAACATTAGCATGGCGCCGAGACTCCCTCGAATTCTGTAAGAGGGAGTGTGAGAGAGAACTGGATGACTTACACTAGGCAACAAAGTAAAGGAACATGCAAGCGAATACAACCGAACTTAGCAGAATATAGCAAGCACACAGACGAGATTAACTATTAAACTGAACTTAAAGCTCTTCGTCAAGCATTAGACAAAAATTGTATACTAGAGAATCCAAAATTTGGCAGAATCATAAACGGGTTTGATATAATTTTTATCGCCCTAGCGCCTTTGCTTAGCTGCTCGCTGTAAACTCTTGACATATAATGCCCCACTTTATATCTTCATACACTCACTTGGCATCTGAAATTTCACTTAGGAATATGGGATGTGAAACGTACATGCCGCCGCACGAGATGCCGGCCAAGAAGCGTCCAATAAATAGATACTCCGCGCCTTCAGCAAAGTAGACCAGAAGCCACAGGCCCTGCAGGAAGAATTTAATTTGATATATACCTTTAAGATTCCTTTATACCTTATAGAATATACTCATTTACACTCATTTACTTACCGCGTGTGGTATGGCTACGAGGAGCAGACACAAACGGCTACCTATGCGCGGCAGTAGCAGACCCGTCAGTGCATTACCCACAAGAGCGCCTAGGCCCACCGCAGAGCCCACCCAGGAGACTTCCGAGATGGTCAATTGAAAGTCAAGCGGCGATTCATCGGACTGTAGTTTGCGTAATATGGGCGATAGCCAGCCGATGCCAGTGCCATGCGATATGCATAGAAGATTGGCTGGAAATTATAAGCCCAAAAATTATCCAACTAGATCTCTATCTTTTCTCTCTCTTTCTCTTTATACACTCACTGAGCATGGTGGCAAGCAATTGATAGCGATTCCTGTGATTCAGCAGACAATTCGGTCGCTCCACGAATTTGGTGAACATTTTGTAGCAGGTTTTTAAGTTAAATAAAATATAATTTCCAGCTTCGATGTAAATTTGTGGCCGCACTTTTGTATACTAAAAAATAGCCTGGCATCCCATTGACTTTAATAGTTGGGAGGCTTCTGTGCTCGGGCACATGTTGCTATAAAGATTAGCCTTGCTCATGCCAACCTGTAAATGAAGCTGCTGAAATGCTGGTAGCGAATGTTATCTGACCACTTAATATCTTACTTAAAACTAGTTCAACTAACTCAAACCAGTCGCCTTGAACATCCGGTCGGAGATCGGTCGTGTTTTTTGTGCGTTCCCGTGTGTGTGTATTTTCAGTGCATCACAGGCAAAAAGCGAACAAAAAACAAGTAAGAAGCTCTAGTCGGGAGCTCCCGACTAGCGAATACCCTGAACCTTCGTTTGCTTCAGCTGTAGTAAAAATAAATTTAATTTAGCAAGAAATATAAAAAAAAAAGTGTTTCCTCGATAAGTCTTGAACTCGTAACAGATCACTATTTGCAAACGCCTCTACTCAACAGCCACACCAAGAAGTGAGTCATAATGAGAAAAAATGGAGTAAAATAGCAGCACAGAAAACCATACAATCGCAATTGCAATATTGTTGATAGAATTCATAGAAGACGGGCATGAATGCGTGTGTGTACATGTATACAGAAATTATTGGAATTCGAGCTTGCTGCCGCTGATACGAGGAAAGCCAAAACACGTTTTCTTTAATAATTTCTGTGTTTCTTAACCGATCTTGATGAAATTTTCTACAGTAGATCTTATTGTGCTATAGAATATTCGTGTATTATCAAAATGACAATTGCATTAAAATTGTGCCTTAAATTGGCGGGCAATACAAATTGTTGTTGGTGTGGACTTGATTTATAGCTATGTGGTGATATCGGGGTGGTGGCGATAGCTATATAATGAAAGATACTTGATATCATATAGTATATACTATTTTAGAAGCTACATGTCAAGTTTGGTGACTCTAGTTCTTATTATTTACCAAAATTGCTCAAAAGTTATCGATCATTGGAAACAAACGTACTGCATGGGCACTAGGAGGACCTAAATATCAAATTTTAAGTTTCTAGCTCTTGGATCGCAATGGATAGCAATGGATCGAGTCGGCTACTGATGCTGATCAAGAAAATATATACTTTGTGGGGTCGGAGATGCATCCTTCTGCCTGTTACATACTTATGCACAAATTCATTATACCCTTTTTACCCATTTTCAATGGGTTCAGGGTATAAAAAGACATTGACATTAAATAAGCCCGCCCCGAATATAAACATTTAAATTACAATATTTTTGTTTATTTTACAAAAGTGCAACCGCGTGCGAGCGTCAGAGAGCAAGCTTTAGCTAAGCGCCTTAGTGTGTGCGTGTGTGTGAGGGAGCAAAGCTTTCGTGAGAGAACTTTTGCCAAGTCTCAGTAACACAAGCAAAGCAAGGCTGGCAATTCAGTCACTGCCCGTGACAGTGCTGACACTTTCCAGTCACCGTTTCGCTTTTCGTTCATCAAAGTCATTATTTTAAAAAATACAGGTGATTTTTGTAATAAAGTACAGCTTGATAATTATTGGTAACATCCCAGCTTATCCTATTCACGACTACCCTGCGTCACCTATACCATATATAACCCTTCGGAAAATGCTCTTCCGCCAAATATTATGCTGTACACCACGCTGTCCACTACGTCGTGCATCACCACAATTGCCTCCTGCTTAGGAACGACTACGGTAACGTCGTCCCTCGCACGTGGCATCAGCTCCCAGCTCTACCCCGTCTCTCCCTAGACCGAACCCTGCTACAAGCCCGGACCTCCATCCCTTTTTGAGCAAATACCCGCTCAAGGGCTAAAAAAAAGCAGGGGGTGTTCTCTCGCCCAGTTTATCTCGCAAGAAGGCGAGCACCACCGAAGCCTACAAAGGCACCCAAAACCGGTTGTCGGCCCTCTCTGGCGAAGAGGAAAGCCACATGGACATGGAGGTAGAGCTAACTGCCAACAACAATGTCGCCAATGGTGTAAATGAAGATGATAGACCATCCACCTCGCACGCAAGCCAGAAGCTTGCCACGCACCTGCAACCCACCCAGACGGCGCCCACTAAGGTGCCCAGAATTACTGTGCCAGGCATCGTCAGCTTCTCCACGATCTGCAAGGAACTGGACAGCATTGTATCATCCAATGCCATACCGCATAGTGCTGAGAAACATCCACCACGAGATCCCATCTGAAGATATTTCAGCGCAATTGGCAGAGAAGGGCACCACGTTGTCCGCATTTTCACCCCGAGTAGCAGAGTCAATAACGAGCCACTCAATATGAGATTTGTTGACCTGAGGAAGGTGGACAGCAAAAACCGAATCAAGTCCATAAATGTTTTATGCAGTTATAAACAATCGTGGGAGAAGCCTCGCAAGACGTCGTACCCAGTCCAATGCAATAGATGCCAAGAGCACGAGCATACCAAGTCCTACTGCTCGAGACACTGTGTGTGCAAGGAGTGTGGGGACAACCATCAAACAAGCGAGTGCACACTTGGCAAGGATGAGGATCGGTGTTCCTACCATCATGGCGAATCACACGCAGCAAACGCAGATGCAAGCCGCTCCAGGTATCGTCGCCCTCAAACAGCCCCTCCTGTCCGCAGCTTCGTTCCCGGCCATAAATCCTTTGCCAGCGTCCTGCACGGTAGCCAGCCCGCCGAGCACAGAGCCCGCTCATCGTCTCGCAGAAGGAACACAGGCAGCATTCCCAGTCGATCCCATCCCTCGAGCTCAGGTTGGAGCAACTGTTCGCCAGATAATAACATGTTTAAAATGAACTCCCTTAGGGTAGTACTGTGGAACTCCAACGGAGTCTTTTCGAAAGCGAATGGGATCCTAGCTTTCAACGGGCTCCACCACATCCATGTGTTTCTGCTCACGAAGACTCATTTCTGCTTTCGTATCACCCTCAGAGGCTACACTCTCCACACCGCTAATCACCCAGACAACAGCCAACATGGAGGAGCGACAATACTGAGCAGGTCGTCCTTGTGCCACCATCCACTTGAGTCGTCCTGCAACTGGCATATGCAAGCCGCTGTTATCCGACTCGGATCCGCCAGAGGCGACTTCAACCTCGTTTCTGAGAGGCATCGAAATTATAGCTACTGGAGAGGCAACGTACTACCGTAGAGCTACTGCAATACCAAGTGCAGTCGACTTCGGGCTCTACAAGGGATTCAGAGAAGAACAGCTGAGAACCTGAGAACCTCCTAAACCTGACCTCGGATCACCTCCCACTACTGATTGGGGCAGAGGAGACCCCAAGTAGGTTGTTGGCATCCGCAAAATGCTGCCGCCGCGCTTTATCTTGGACGCCTACAGGACCTGCCTCGAGGACACCGTAGAGCTCAACATGGCCATAAATACAAGTGAAGTGGAGAGCTATGTTGATCACCTCACAGCATAAATAATAATAATGCTGTACACGCTGTACATGGCGGACATCCCCATACAAGGCCAAAACATTCGACATGGGCGCCCGAGCAGGGACTCGAAGCGTATTTAAAAAAATTCAATTTATATTTTCTAGTAATACGAAATTTATTGGAAAAAAAAACTTAACATATAATTCAGACGTTGCAACACATATTGCCCTTTTTGCTAGCTTCACCCTCAATCCTCAAGCATTGACTTGCCCTTGGTTTCCTTTAGGAAGAAGACAAAGTATATAAAGCCAAGTGCTGATATGCTCGCACAGGACCACATGGTGGCCGGCACGCCCCATTGATCCATGCAAAGGGGAAAAATGTTGAGCGATATAAACACAAACGAGCTGCATATACAAATTGATATTGAAGCAGCTCTTGCGCGTATCTGCGGGATAAAGAAAGTCAAAGGGTAGAGATAGATATAATAGAAAGACCCCAACGACACGCACCTTGACCGGAAACATCTCAACAAGTAGGACAAAGAAGCAACCAACGAGTCCAATGTTGCCCAGAAAGATGTACAGCGACATAAAGAACAGTGGGACCCAACTCCACTCACTCAAATCGTACCACTGTGCGTAGTAGGTGAAGAGGCCGAAGCACGTCAGGCTGACAACCACGCCGGCTGAGGAGATCACCAGCAGAATTCTGCGTCCCCAGATATCACAGAGAAGCGTTGTCGCATATGTGCCCATAATCTGCACAATGCCAATGATAATGGTACAGGTATCCGGATCCATGGAGGTGCCCGACAGTGCAAATATATCCGACATATAGTTGACCATGGCGAAAAGTCCACTAAATTGATTAACAATCAGAAGAACCACAGCCGAACAATAAGCTTTGAGTGCAGGTCGAGTTACTGCAAATATATATATATAAAGCATAAGATCTGTAGATCGGAACTAATTAAGATAGCTTACGGAAGTCCTTGAGGGTCACCTTGTCCGAGTTCTTATCACTTTGGGTCAGTGTCTGCTTCATTTCCTCAAATTCTGTGAGAGCACCCGGCTGATTGTTATCCTTAATGTTTTTATAGTATCTGAAAGACTGCTCAGCCTCCTTGTACTTGGCCTTGCGTATGAGATGCATCGGGGAATCGCGTATGATGAACAGCGTGGATATGAAATAGCTAATTGGAAAGATGAGCACTGCGAATGGTACGATATGATAGGCCAGATGCGTGCCCAAAATGTAGCCTAGAAGAATGCCAACATTCACAGACAACATTATCATGGCGCCGAGACTCCCTCGAATTCTGTAAGAGAGAGTGTGAGAGATGACTTACACTATACAAAAAGGTAATGGAACATGCAAGCGAACAGAGCAGAATACAGCAAGGCACGCAGACTAGATTAATTATTCAAATGAGGCATTAGATAAACATTTGGTACTAGAAAATCCAAAACTTATCGCCGTAGCCCCCTTGCTTAGCTCCTATCGCTATAATGCCCTACTATATATCTTCGTACACTCACTTGGCATCTGAAATTTCGCTTAGGAAAATGGGATGTGAAATGTACATGCCGCCGCTGGAGATGCCGGCCAAGAAGCGTCCAATAAACAGATACTCCGCGCCTTCAGCAAAGTAGGCCAGAAACCACAGGCACTGCACGAATGATTCCTTATATGGGTGTATATACTTTATAGAGTATACGCATTTACTTACCGAGTGAGGTATGGCTACGAGGAGCAGACACAGGCGGCTACCTATGCGCGGCAGTAGCAGACCCATCAGTGCATTACCCACAAGAGCGCCTAGGCCCACCGCAGAGCCCACCCAGGAGACTTCCGAGATGGTCAATTGAAAGTCAAGCGGCGATTCATCGGACTGTAGTTTGCGTAATATGGGCGATTGCCAGCCGATGCCAGTGCCATGCGATATGCATATGAGATTGACTGAAAATTATAAGACCCAATAGTTATCTCTTTTTTAATAGATCTCTCTCTTTTCTCTCTCTCTCTCTCTTTCTCTTTCTCTTTATACACTCACTGAGCATGGTGGCTAGCAATTGATAGCGATTCCTGTGATTCAGCAGACAATTCGGTTGCTCAACAAATTTTACCAACATTTTGTAGCAGGTTTTTAAGTTAAATAAAATATTTTCCCAGCTTCAATGTAAGTTTGTGGCCGCACATTTGAATACTAAAGAGTCGCCTGGCTTCCCGTTGAATTTAAAAGGTTGGAGGCTTCTGTGCTCGGGCCCATGTTGCCATAAAGATTAGTCTTGCTCATGCAAGCCTGTAAATCAAGCTGATGAAATTCTAGTAGCAAATGTTATCTGCCCACTTAAATCTTACCAAAAAGTAACTCAACTAACTCAAAGCCGATAAGTGCAGTGTCATATTGGTTCACACAGATGTTCGGAGGGAGAGCATTCGAAATACCCTCAGACAATGGCAAACTTCGCTATATTGTTTGAATATAGAATTAAAACGAAGCGCTATAAAGAAAATAAACCTATTAATATAGAAAGCGAATTTCTACAGTAAATAAAATAAAAAATAAAAATATAGGAACACTTATATGGAAGGAGATTATAGCATATATGGAATGAATATATAAGAGTGCTCTACCCTGAACCTATCGCAGAGCTGCCATAGCCAAAAAATGAAATGAAAACCTACATAACAATTTTGGTGGATCTGTAGTTTACAGGCGGCGCCCCTAGAATTCGCACAACCGTACTCTAGAAGTTCAAGTGCACAATTTGACGCAGTCTATATATGTTCTGGTCTAGCTCTTCGGATTGGTCGGGGTTCTTTTTACCAAACTGCACAGGTACGCAGACACACTAAATAATATTAATGCGCGAGCGGTAACAATTATATAAAGCATCAAAATATCAACCACGGTTATTACGCTCCATTGAAGGGATCAGGTGTCACGATTCCGCTTCATAAAGCACCCAACCATGACAATCGCTCAAATATTTATGTTGTGTAGCAAAGGTTTTGTGACCTTTTCAAAGCATTTGTGCTATAAAAAAACTTTTATAGCTTTATTTCCAACACAATAATGATCATGGTGACTAAGTTTTTAGTGTAGCTTTTGGAAAACCCAACAACTGATAACTATTTCTCCATGTAAGTCCGCTCGTCAAGCCTAAGTTCTATTTGAATTTCGGTCTTCTGGTTTACTGACCTTGCTTGGTGCTGAGCTTCCAATTTGTTAAGGATCAAAGTGGGGATAGGGAATCATTTTTTTTATATGCGAGATACCTTATTGTCTGGTACTTAGGTACGCCCAATTGTCAGCTTTACGAGACGGATCGTTGAGGGGATGGCAGGCTGTCTCTTTATTGTTAGCTGTTCCAAATGATAGAGGTCAAAACCTGCTAACGCCGGGACAGAGTAAGGATTCCACTTTCGGTCTAACGTACCGTCAGTCTAGCTAAACACCACCAGAACTTTTATTCCACCCTTTATTCTTGATCTATATTCTCTGTATATATACGTATTATTCCCGTCTGTACTCTTTCGCACGTCTGTTCGACGCTAGAACTCTCGACTCAATGATTGACTGATTAATTCAGCAGCTTGCTGTAAACCTGCTAAGCAAAGCGTTTACGGTTCAATCGTACGATTGTGATCTAAGCTTTGTGCTACTCTTTTAATAAGCTTTTCCCAATTCTGAAATTTTATTAAAGAGCACTACAAACCTTGCTCTTTTGCAAATGGGAGGAGTTAACACGAAATACAATAATAAACCTCGCTTGATATATAAAAAAATATATTTGAAATTTCAAGTCTTTAGAGATCGATTCTTGCATACAGTCGGACAGGCAGATATTTTCAGAAAGAACAGGGTATATTCCATCCGCTGAACTAATCACAACAAATTAATCTACCAAATTCCTTAATGAAGCACCGTAAGCAGCATATATTTTAGGTATAAAAACAAGAGTCTTTAGATAAACTTCTCTTAAAGCACGCCCATCTACCGTTATTCTTCCTCTGGAGTAGTTAGACCTAAGTTTGTCCTGAGACAATAAATCAATATATTAAAGAGATAAAGATATATATCAAATTAAAATTGAATTAATTAAATTAATTAAATATCCTAGACTTTTTATTATATATTTTTTCTATAATTATATTATTCTATAAATTATATTTAAAAAAAAATTTTTATTATAAAACTTCCAAGCGGATAACCAAGTCTTCTAAGAATCCAGTAGGGATTTGCCCTTAGTCTCGTCGAGAAACAACAGAAAATACACGAAGCTGACAAATGCAACAAGACTCGAACTCCACAATGTTATGGAGATGCCCCAATATTGCATGCAGAGTGGAAAGATTTTTAGGGACACAAAGACGGTGCAGCTAAGGATGACCACAAATGTGGACACAGCTACCGAGCGGATCTATAGGGAATATAAAGGAATATAGATATAGCTATTATATGAGTTGCATATTGCACTTACCTTGGCTGGCATCACCTCGACCAGCACCACAAAGAAGACGCCCACCAGCCCAATGTTGCAGAGGAACACATCCAGAGAGAGCAGCACCAAAGGCAACCAGCCCAACGCGGACAGATCGTAGAGCTTCGCAAAGTAGGTAAAACAGCCAAAGGCGGCCAGGCAGATGCCAGCGCCCAACGTGGAGATCAATAGTAGAATCTTACGCCCGAATTGATCACAAATCAATGTGGTTGTATAGGTGCCCACAATCTGTACGGCTCCGATGACAATGGTGCACATGCTGATGTCCAGCGTGGTGTGTGAGAGAGCGAAGGTGTCCGACATGTAGGTGATAAAACAAAAGGTGCCCGTAAATTGATTGCTCAGAATAAGAACCATTGCGATGGCATAGGCCTTGAGGGCAGGTCTGCTAACTGAGAAGGTTGCAAAGGATAAGTTGAGGAGAAGGATTCTCAGGATCTCAAGTACGTACCGAAATCCTTGCAATTAAAGGCATTTACGTTCAAGGCAAGCTCTTTCGTCAGCTTCAGCTTCATGTCCTCGAACTCCAGCATGGAACGCTTGTCATCATCTCTGACGTTCTTATAGAATCTAAACGATTTTTCTGCTGCACCGAATTTGCCCTTGTTTATGAGATGGAACGGCGTTTCGGGCAGGAAGAGATTGCTTATAAAATAGCAAATTGGCAGGGGTATTATACAGAAGGGTGCCGTAAAGTAGCCAACATTTGTGGATAAAATATAACCCACTAGCACGCCCATGTTGACAGAGAGCATGACAAAGGAACTAAGACGACCGCGTACTCTGTAGGATAACCAAGTGCTCAAATAATCAAACGAGAAGTTCTTTAATTAGGTGAACTTACTTAGCATCCGAGATTTCGCTGATGAATATGGGAAACACAATATAGCCACCGCCGCCCGTTATGCCAGCCAATAGACGAGCCAAGTACAAATACTGCACGCTCTGCGCGAAGTAGGACAACAGCCAGAAGCACTACAAGTCCAAAGGATAAGTGTGGCGCCCAACGTGTGGCAAGCTAAAAAAACTCTTACTCACCACATACGGCACAGTTAGGGCAAACATAACGGGTTTGCGTCCAATGCGATCCTGAAGAAAACCGGCCAGTAAATTGCCTATGACACTGCCTATGCCCAGCAATGAGCCAATCCAGGATAGCTCCTCCACGAACACCCCAAAGCTGAGCGGCGACTCCGGAGTTTGCAGTTGCCGCATCACCGGCGACATCCAACCTATGCCGATGCCATGCGCGAAGGTCGAAATGTTCACTGAACCAAAAGAAATCCGTTAGAGAACTCCTTAGAGGAACATCGAAATATGGCCAGCTCACCTAGAAACGTTGCCAGGAACTGGTAGCGATTCCTGCGATTCAGCAGGCAATTCGTGTGCTCAAACAATGCGCCCGATGTCAGCTTCATGGTCTTGTGTCCGGTCGAATCTCATGCCTCGAATGACTGGCGCACAGCTTAGGAGTTGCCTAAAATAAAGATTTGTTTCGGCTGGAAAGCTGTGCGTTACGTTGACCCAACAGCTGATAAAGCTAGATAAAGCTCTTTACTACTTCCAGTAAAAGTTGTGTGTTTAGGCTAATTCTAAATTAATTTATTGCAACTGATACACGCCGACTGCTCAGTCCTTAATCATAGACTTGCCTTTGGTCTCCGGCAAGAACAACAAAAAGTATACAAATGTTAAAAAACTGGAAGCTGCCGAAAACCACATGGTAACCGATATACCAAAATAATGGAGCAGCAGCGGAAACAATTTTAACGTGCAGAAGACCAGAACACTCAGAAAAACCACCGATATGGATGTGGCCAGCGAACGTATCTAGGGAAACGAGATAATTAATAGGAATATACCTTCAAGCAATGCCGACAGTCAAACCTCCCTATGATGAATGGTAAGGGAATGAAAATGGTAAATCTTTGAAATGTAAATTGAAATGGGAATGGGATCTTGTCAAATAATATATCGTAATTGAAAAATTAAATATTTTGAAATAAGGATATAGGTAATAGGGCACTTAGCGAATGTTAAGCAGAGGTTTGGCTGTAGTTAACTATTCTTATTGCTACCTTGGCTGGAAAGAGTTCCACGAGCACTACGAAAAACACTCCAATAAGTCCAACGTTGCCCAAATAGATGATAATTATCATCAGCACCAATGGCAGCCAGTTAACATCGCTCAGGTCATATTGCTGGGCATAGTAGGTGAAGCAGCCAAAGACGATGCAGCCCAAAGCGACGCCCAGTGTGGAGATCAGCATGAGTATGCGACGTCCTATAATGTCCACAAATATGGTCGAGGTATAGACGCCCACAATCTGCACCACGCCAATGATAATGGTGCAAGTGTTGACATCCAGTATAGAGCCAGATGCCTCAAATATGGTCGACATATAGTTGATGAAGCTGAAGATGCCGCTGAACTGGTAGCCCATAGAGAGCACAACCGATGCTGCAAACGCCTTCAGTGCCGGCTTGGTAACTGTAAAGGATTGTCAGCAAGGAATAGTAGCTTTGGGGTGAGTGCTTACTTAGATCCTTATAGGTTAAGGCTGTCGTATTCTGTGCCTCTTGAGCGTCTATGGCCAATCGCAGTTCCTCGAAGTCCGCTTTGGACGCCTGCCCCATGCCCCTTTGCTGATTTTGATAATATTTAAAGGACGTCTCAGCTGCGTGCGGTTGCTTGTGTCTCAGGAGATACGGTGCCGTTTCGGGCAGCAAAAGATTGGCTAAGAAGTACACTATTGGCAATATTACGGCCAAGAAGGGCACGACATGATACGCCAGATAGGTGCTTAGTATATAGCCAACCAGTACGCCCAAGTTGACAGACAACATTACCATAGAGGTCAAAGAACCGCGAATGCTGGAAGGTATTAAATTATATGTCATGGAGTTATAAAAAGATGGATATAGATATGGAAAAAGTTAAAGAGTCATAGCTAAGACTATGGACCTCGATTTAGTTACAAGTACTCACGAGCTGTCGGCGACTTCACTGATATAGATCGGCACTATCAAATAGCCCGCACCTCCCGTAAATCCACACAGAAAGCGAGCCACATACAAGTAACTCACATTCGAGGCGCAATATATCAGAATCCATAAACACTTAAAGATAAACTTGAATGAGCAAAAAAGTTGAGCTAAAAATCAAATGAATTTTCCTGCCGTACCGCATAGGGTCCTGCTAGCAAATATATGCAAAATTTCCTGCCCATCCGTTCGAGCAGAAATGCAATCGTCAAATTGCCAAACAGACTGCCCAAGCCAAGCATGGAACCCAGCCAGGATATCTCATCGATGCCCACTTGAAAGTCGAGGGGTGTGTCGGGTGTTTGTATTTTGGTAAGGGTCGGCGACAGCCAGCCCACGCCAACGCCATGGCCAAATGTTATAATGTTTACTATTTAAATAGTAAATAGTGATTAAATAGTAAATCCAAACTGGAGATTACAAATATTCCACGCTGCTTATGACATACCTATGACAGTCGCCAAGAGTTGGTAGCGCGTTTTCTGATTCAACAGCGAATTCTGCAAGAAGTTCGACATTCTGTGGAGCTCTCTAAAAACGTCTGGATAGCTGCATGGCACGACAAAGAATGCGAATGCACGGGCATTTGTGACATTTCGACATTCACGAAGGCTGAATTGATGGTTAACATACTATAAAATTGTTATTGTGTGGACCCAGTCTATGGCTTTCATATTACATACTTTCAGAGACGTCACAAATGGCAGGCCGTAAGTTCAGTGTTTGCCAAAGTCGGGCAACACTTAATGGATTAGATATAGTTGATATAAAGATTAAAGATGCCTGGTGCGAGCGAGTATTTCATTAGGAAAGTCATGAATAACAAAGATTAGAATTATTTTATGTGAGCTTATGTACTAGATGATTTATATGGTACACGTTGGAATGGCGTTCTAAAAAAGAAGGCTTGTCTGACTGTTGCGATAGGGTTACACAAGCCCTCCTCTATTCTCAGATAGCTCCTTCTTATATGCAGAAAAACCCTAGACACTCTAGATCATAATTCATTAAGACAAGAAGGCTAACTGCTATGCGGAACACAAATCAGGCTCATATGATGAAATGGATTTTCCTGCCATACCGCATACGGCCCTGATAGCAGCTATATATATATAGACTGTACAATCCCATCAGGAACCCACTTAAATTTCGGAAGCGTGGGGACAAGGTGAAAGTTTAAAATGAGAAAAAAGAAGAAATTGAGTCTAATTAAAAAAAAGCTGATAGCATGTTTCGGCCGTCGTTGAAATTGTTTTCTACAAATGTGCCAAATAAAACACTGATCCAGATGGGTAATACCTAAATAAATAACACTCACGCCAGACAACAGACTAGCAATAAGACTTTATAGCCAAATATTTGTTGAGTTTGTTTGGAATTTCATAAGCCAAACAAACTATTAACTATTTAAATTGCGAAATTATTTTAAAGGTCAAATGGTATTAGGGAATGTCAGGTTATTTGTGAGCCGTAATCGTTCTAGAATATGTCATAAGCCCATAACCTTAGCTATGTCTGCGTATAGCTACCATTTGATACTACACAGTTGTAGAAAGCACTTGTGATCGCAATTCTGTGTTCTCCTATAAGTAGACTCTAATATCTAATTTGCATGTTAGTACTACCTGATGGTGACTTTTTCAAACTAGCCAAAGCAAAAACCCATCTAATAGATGGGGCTTTTAATTAATCTGAGTCAAGATACTTAGTCATAAAGTAGAGATTTTATAAAAAGCTTTATTTCTTTGCCTTTGTTAACGGGTCTACAAATAATTTAAATATTCGCTCGAATCAAACGGAGAGTGGTAAAAAATCCCATTAACTCTTTTCAGTTTGTAAACGATCATAGTTAAAAAAAGATTTATGAATATTGCCCTCTATGCGATTCTCATAAATTCAAGTAAGGGTTGCAGGTTTTTAAGTTTCATTTACAACTGTAATATTTATTAAAAGTGATATATTTATAAAAAGTGTTATATTCACAAGCCTTAATTTGTCGCAAGTATGTATGTATTTATACCTGCATGTTTGCATGTATGCATGCATGCATGTATGCATGTTTGCATGTATGCATGTTTGCATGTATGCATGTATGTATTCATGAACGCATGTGTGTATGTATGTACGCATGTATGTATGTACGTATGTATGTAATTATGTACGCATGTATGTATGCATGTTAGTCTCCATGCATGTGGATAAGTATGTATATATGCATGTAATCCAATAATAACAAATATAGTCAGATATTTACAGGCGCAGTCAAAAATAATCCCTCAAAGACCTGATTTATATAATCACAGTCAGTTAATATTAACAAAAAGATAATTTATATAGCAGAAAGTTAATTAATGTGGGTCATCTTTAGTTAGTGATATTTGTCATTTATATTTATAAAAGTAAAAACAAAAATACAATATCGCTCATCTTTAATGCACCTGCATTCCGCTGCACGATTGAAGCTGTGCTCAGGTCGTAAATATGCGCTTATCTGTAGAGAGAACTCTTTAATCTAATCAAAGAAGTCTTTTATAGGACGCTCACAGGGGACGTGCGTATGTGTGTAGGTGAGGGCAAGTTCAAGGGGAATTAAGTGTGTTACGGCTGACTAGATTTATGACAAAGACGCAACTTGTCTGGAAATGTATACATGATGTTGTTTGCATAAAAAATGTCTATAACAGTTAAGCTCTATATTAATTTATAAAACTGCTTGTCCTGACTGGCTGACTAGCTGACTGATTGCTGATCAATGCTGAAATCTTAAGTGCAGGTCCACCTACATATGTGGAAAATGCGCGGAAAGCGGTTGCTTGAAACATTTTTGCTTACGATCCGATTAGGATTAAATTCATTTTCGTGATTTGGAAAGGTAAAAAAGGGCGTTGGCTGTTTGACCTTTTCGGGCCTTCTCATTTCCAAGGATCTTTATTAAGACTTAAAGAGAGGTGACCCTCCACTCCTGGGAGGAAAGTGGAAGCCAAAGCATGTACTTCGGTTAATCCATATGTATGGGTTAGGTTTCAATTTGTGAGCGATAAACATAAATTATGTTCAATTTCTAACGCTCGCGGAATGAATGAAAGTCCTGAAAAATTTGGGTAATACCCGCCGTATTGTAATAAAAACAAAAATTAAATTAAAAACAAAAAGAAAACAATTAACAGCTGTTGCTAAGCTTAGCTTAATGACTATAAGCTGGCCAAAATGGTTTCAATAGTCTTGCCCCTCGTCTCGGGCAGAAAGATGGCAATAAAAAGCGCTCCGGCCAGGGAGCAGCCGGCGAAGAGCAGCACAGTGCCATGCATGCCCCACGCAGCGGTCAGCAGTGGTATGAGCTGAGTGTGTCAAATAGACAGGAGGTTAGAGTTAGTGTCAGGCAACTGTTGGCCAATGATTGGGGCTCACCTTAATGGTTAGCATGGAGAGCAGCCAGAGTATGGACATGAGCAGCATGCTGGCCATGCTGCGTATCTTTGGCGGCATTATCTCGGATATGACCAGAAACGGCAGCGTCAACAGGCCCCACGAGGCGATGAACAGCATAAAGGAGAAGGCAGCAATGGGCACCCAATCGAAGCCCGCCGTGTCATAGCCCAGCACCTTCAGGTAGCTGTGGCTGGCCATGACCACCTGGCTGAGGCAAATGCCCACCGCGGAGACGAGCAGCAGCAGCTTGCGGCCCGCACGCTCCACCAGCAACGTGGCCACATAGGAGCCCACCAGCTGTATGAAGCCGACGATTATCGCGGAGACGGTGGGCGACAGACTGGAGCCGGACTTCTCGAATATCAGTGCCGTGTAGTTGAGCATGGCAAAGCAGCCGCAGCCCTGATTGGCCGCCAGCAGGCCCAGTCCAATGAAGCACGCCTTGCGCGCCCTACGATCCGCTGTGGTTGGCAAATGAGGCTGGATTTAGATGGGAGCTGATTAATTTTACAGGATTTGCATTTGGCTTACCAAAGTCCGCCCAGGTGACAGCACTGTCATCGATATCGTCGCCGGCCTCGTCGGCCTTTTCGGGCGCGCGCAGCTTGTGCAGCTCCAGCTGCAGCTGGTCGCTCAGCTCCTTGGAGGGGCGGGCACGTATGTTGCGGTAATAGCGCAAGGCATGCTCCGCCTCCTGCAGCTTGTGCTGCTGCGCCAAATGTTGCGGCGTCTCGGGCATGAACCAGAAGCAAACCAGAAACACTATCGACAGCACGGACACTATCCACGCTACGGTCGCATAGTTGAAATAATAGCCCAGCACAAAGGCCGTGACCACGCCCACATTGCAGGAGAGCACCAGCAGCGTGCCCAATATGCCGCGTACGCTGTGTGAGGCAGAAAAGGAAGCATAAGTTAAAGCAGGTGTAGCTGGGGTAGGTGTCATCCGCTCACCTGTCCTCGGCCAACTCTGCCGTGTAAACGGGTATCACGCCAAAGCAGCCGCCGCCGGCCATGCCGCCCAGAAATCGCGCCGCTATCAGATGCGTCGGGTTGCGTGCATAGGGTATGCCAATCCAGCCCAGCTGCAGGAAGTACTCTCTGCTAAGATAATTCTCATTTTGGCCAAGCTCCAAGCTCACTTACCAGCGAGGGCAGCGCCACCCAGAGCATCGATTGCCTTCGGCCAATTTTCTCGGCCAGCCACAGGAAGAACACATTGCCCACAACTCCGCCAAGACAGAGCACCGATGCCACATTGCCCTGATCCTGCTTGCTGAGGGGACCCGTCTCCAGCGGACTCGCATCGCTGCTCAGTTCCAGAAAACTAGATGAAGGCCAGCCGCAATAGGCGCCAAAGGATACGGATACGATGTTTACTGCAATGTGAGTAAAGAAGAAGAGTTAAGAAAGAGTTATTGAATATTATTATTTTTTAGTATTTATATTTTTTTACCCTGAACCCATTAAAAATGGGTAAAAAGGGTATAATGTATTTGTGCAAATGTATGTAACAGGCAGAAGGAAGCATCTCCGACCCCAGCATCAATCTTGATCAGCATCAATAGCCGAGTCGATCTAGCCATGTCCGTCCGTCTGTCCGTCTGTCCTTATGTATGAAGGATCTCAGAACCTATAAGATCTAGGGACTTGCAATTTTAGCTGTAGGTCCTCCTAGTCCCCGCGCAGATCGAGTTTGTTTCCGATATTCGATAACTTGCCCCGTTTCCAAGTAATCGATAAAAATCGATATCGAAATCCTGTTTTTTGGGCAATTTCGCCAAATAATATGAGCTAGAGTTACCAAACTTGACATGTAGCTTCTAGAATAGTATGTATATATCAAGTATCTTTCATTTTGTAACTATCGCCTGTTGGAAGAAGAGGGTTCAGGGTATCCCCTAGAACCTCTTGCTTGTTAATTATTAGTTCCTATGGCTTAGTGTATTAATGCCCAACAAAGTGGTCTTTGGTTAGCTCGATTTGCCTTCTTGTCGCTAAATGCGTTAAAATTCGAAACGAGTTTAAGCCTCAAGCGATTTATAGCTTGTTGCTTGTTGGCTTTGACTAACATTGACCTTCATACTTAATTTAATAGAAGTCAACAAGCTATTTGTCTTTGGTAATATCAAATGAAAATTTTACGAACTTCGGTTTCAATATGCTTAGTCCAGTGCCATCATAAGTAAAAGTTGTTATCCGTTCTACGTACGAAATAATAACACGATTAGCAGACTTTGCGACCCTTTTTATAATTGAAAATCTCCAATTGTACACAGTAGAGTGGATTTTACGCAAATACTGATTTCCACAAATTTTCCACTCATCCCACACAAAAGGTACTTGCAGCGAAGAGCTTCCTTCAGCTTCCCGAATCGCCAGTCCGTCAGTCAGTCAATCACTCAATCAGTCAGGGCAAACAATTTAATATGCATGGATATACCGTTGACTTTGCGGTTCTATCAATTTGAATGAATCGCGAACTGGAATATCCTAGATTTACAATTTATTTAAGCCCCAAATTTAATGCACGAAAACATTTATCCACATTATACGCAGCTTATGCTGGGATTTGTCGCTTTCCGGCTGTAAAAAGCACATTTGCACATTATTTTACCAGCGAACAATTTTTACTTTATTTTAATAAAATTGATTTATTTGCAATGTGTTTCAATTGAAAAAAAATTGGTCACGAATTATTAAGTCACTTTTATATTTTTAAAAGGTTTTTTTTTACATTTTAAAAAAAATTTGCATGCATTGTATAATTGGCTGGGTGTTAAATTCGCGATTGAGTGCCTTTTAACGACACGGAAAATCCAGGCAACACACACACACACACACACATGCATATATATTTAATGCACTGTTTGGTTATATCAATTGGCTTAATTCGAATTGCAGACACAGTTTACTAACCGAATATTGCAGCCAGATATTGAAATCTTACATCGCCTTTCGAATCCATTGTGCTCTTAACTTTATCCATTTTATCTGTCGATTAAATTTACGATTGAATTTGCCGGCTCAATGGGCGCCTGTCATTATCCTTTTCTGTTCTGGTGTGGGTTGAGGGAAGGATTCGCTCCTGCTGCCTGAGTGCCTGGGCCAATGCTCGTGGCGAACTAACCAAGCGTAGTTACTGCATGATAACTTTTATATATGCTATTAAAATCGCACAAAAACCGAGTACAGATTATAAAGCCAGCACAGATACAGAGCGGATTATTGTTATCTCCCTGTAATTATGCTCTCTCTCTCTCTCTGCATCGAGAGCTAAGTAAATCTATGACAGCAGCTACAACAACAAGAAGAGCAGCAAATATTCTAATTGCCTCTGTCGAGACTGTCGATGCGCATTGTTTTGTTTTAGTGGCGACTACTGTGATTATTGTTGCACTGTCTATTTTATTTATTTTCTACCCTTACTAAATGTGCTCCAATCATCGTTGTCATTGAAAGTGTCACACGTGTCTGTTCCATAGGGCCATTTTTACCCGACCTTGTCGCATGACATACGTACAATCAATATGGGTCAGTTTGCATTTCTATATTATATTTAAAGAGACCAGAAGTATAAAAGAATACTTACTTCAGAGAATAGGAAATATATTTATAATTTTTAATTAAAATGTTCCAATACGTAAAATAGGGCATTTAAAAAGTTACAATCAGGCAAATAGGGCATTTAATATTCCGATGGATTGTTTTTCACTTTATTCTCTCTTATAACATTTACGAGTTTTCCTGTTCTGATATGTGTTCGAAATCGCAAATCCAATAGAGGCGCGTCATTGTTATGGCACCATTTGGAGGGGGAGGGGAGGGGATGGCAGCTTGGTGCCGAGCCGTGCCGGGCCGGGCCGGGTGTCGGGCACTTGGTGCGCATCAATCACGTTTTCATGGCGCTCTCATATCAGTAGCCCAAAGATTAAACAGACCCATTCTAAATTTTATTCAAATACGTGTATTTGCAAAAGATAGGCGCAAACGTCAGTACAATTATGACTAACACATATCTTTGACGATTTTTACAATTGGCCGCGTAAATTTGGATTAGTGGGCGAGGCTCTACATTTTCACATTGTTTACCCTGTCTGTTTGCCATGTGCGGGGGGACCAGAGAAAGTGTTTCTTGTTGCAGATTTAATCCAATTTGTAGACAGTCACGCTCTCTAGAGTGTGTCAAATGGAAACGTTTTTGTTTAATTCTTACTCTTGAGCAAATTTTGGTTAGTAGAAAATGGAAATTCAGGTTATCTTGAATGCATTCATAAATCTCAATAAACATTATTTATTTTAACTTTTGGGTAACTGAACTGTTAAATATACAATATTTATTATTATTTTTGGGTAACTGAGCTGTTAAATAAACTTAGGATTAAGGTTCTGCATTAAAAATAACAAGGCAGACGTTGTTATAAATTTCCCCAAGATCATAATAGATGATGATGGCATTTATAAGAGTTATAATAAAAGTAGTTTAATTATCATTTTTAAAATATTAATCAAAATTTTACGATTAAAAATAATATAATAATATAAAAGTAGTCATATATAATACTAGACATAAGAGGCAATAAAAAAATCGAATAATAATAATAAAAATAACAAAAATAATACTAATAATAATAAGAAAAATAAAAATACTAATAACAATAAAAATAATAATGATAATAATAACAAAATAATATGAATAAAAATAGTAATTAAAACAAACATTTGAATAATGATAGTGAAAATAATATCAATAATGAAGTAATAATCAAAATAATTAAAATAATCATAATAATTATAATAATAAAAAAAAAAATAATAATATTAATAATAACAAAAATAATAATAATAAAAGCAATAATGATAGAACTAATAATAAAAACAATCATAAACATAACAATAATAATACTAATGAAAAGAATCCATTTGAAACACCTTTAGAGCACCTTGTATTTTATATAAATACCATGTTCCGTCTCACTTTTCTGAATGTTTAAGATGCATGTTTACGCTTCCCGATCACTTAAGTGCCCGAACTATCTAAATGATTGTAAATTGATGCAATTGATTGGGCGTAGATCAATTTAAATGAAGCTGTTTTGTATTTAGATCGACTGCTTAGAGGGAAACGAAGAAATTATATTCGTAGGTATTTTTATTTAAAGCTATTTGCAGCTGGCATCGCAAAGAGTTCTGCACATTTGCCTGGCAAATTCATAGTAATAACAAATCTGAGGCAAGATTAGATAAGCTAAGATCATAGGCTTATCGTTGGCCTGTTGTTCCGCATTGTATGTGAATTTCATCAGAGCGAATCGCGCCAGTTGTCATGTAGATAGGCCAATAATTGGTACGGCACTTAACATGATTTAATTAATATGCTGCAAATTAAATAACATGCTACGGTCTTTTAGCTCATTTAAATTAATTTGTGCTTTACTTATATTATGTACCGAAAGCTTACACACTAATTGCAGTTGGCTTTGATTGTTCAGATGTGCGTCGAGATGTGGCCATTAATTGCGCTGGCCACCTTGGCAACGCCCTCCTGCCTCACATAGCCCATTTCACGTTGCACGGCCGACGGACGACGGTTGCGTGTCTCCGGCAGCAAGGGCAGCGAAATGAGGCCCACAAATATCGAAGCGCCTGCAAAGACCCACAGATACAGCACCAGACCGGGACCCAGTGTTGTCTTGACCGCATTGAAAGCCTGTCCAAAAAAGGATGCGTGCATATATAAGATTTAGCTTTAATTTCTTAAATCCTAATAGCCTTGTTCCTGGCCTCCTTTTCATTACTCACCTCAATCATGCCGAAGAGCAGCAGCCAGGAGACGCCCGAGGCCAACGAATAGAGCAGGTCATGTAGCTGCCAACAAACAATCAATTTTATTTATTCAAAATTCAATTTATCGTAAAAATATTTTATCTTTTCATTAGCCCCATTTAATATTTATCTTTTCATTTAGTTAGGCAAGTAAATAATAGTCTCATGCAGTCTGCTCGACTGCAGGATTCCCTGAATTGCATAAATCTACAGACGAGCCGTATCTAGCCATGCCGCCTGAACTTCTGTTGTTCACAAATTGTTTAATCGAAATATTGTTTCGCATAATTGCATAACAATTACATGAATTGTTTTCAATATGGCTTACAACGAAATGCCATTGTTGATATGCATGTGTTTAACCTTGCGCTGAAGAGTATGCTACACATTTGTTTACAGTCAAGTGCAATTTTCGCCAGTTGCATTTCACCCGCCATGTTTACGCAAACAGACATCACAACTGACTACCAGGGAAATTCAACCTTTAGCTGGCATTGGCATTAGCATTGCGGACCACAGAGGAATTTGCTTTACACGGAATGCACAACAATATCCAAAAACATAACAATCAGGAACATTGCGACAGCGCAATACTCTGCTCGCAGTGTACACACTTGTGAAAATATTTAAGAGAGTAGCTTTTTAAAAAATTGAGTTGGTGACTCCAAAACTGTAAGCCCAAGACAGTGACTTTAAGACTGTAAGCTGGACAATATAGGGTATTATTTGATGGGTTTGGGTGTAGAATTAGGCGTGAATTTTAAAGTGGTTCCATATTAATCGTGATTTATGACTGTAAAATATATGTATATATATTTATATTGTTATAAAATATATGTTTTTATAATAATATGTATATTTAAGGACTATAGCTTCAGTAGACACACGGACATGCTCCTACTCACTTTGTGATTCAGGAATGATTCAAACTATGATTTTTAGTTTAATAAAGTGCTGCATTCTATGATAGCTAGTGAACGGAAAGAGTTGGGCCAATCGGCTGCAAAGCCAGAATATTAAATAGAAGCTGTTTTCCATCAATTTTCAATCTTTGCGGAGCCCTTTCCTAAATCTCTTCTTAGTGAGCAACTACGTCACAAAGGGAAGATGCAGGGAAAATTGTTATTTTAACATTTATGCTTTACATGGATCAGTAAACCGTCAGTTAGTCAATCAATCAATCAGCCAGTCAATCAGTATTTTTAGGGATTTCTAGCCCCATTTTCGCGCAGGGACATTCGCGATGAATACATCTTACGAAATCTACCTGGAGATGGTATTAAATGTTATCAATGTGTTCCTTACCTTTGTGGGCAGCACTTCGCTGCTGACGACAGCGGCCAGGGGATAGAGGCCAAAGCTGACGAAGAAGAGCTGAGCGGCGAGCAGAGCGATGGGCAGATAACGCTCACACCAGATGCCCAGAGACCAGCTGTAGCCAAATTGCTTGAACAGGGCCAAAGTGATGACTGGAACGGCGGCGAGCAGCGAGGAGAGGCAAAGCAGCAGCTGCAATGAGAGACATATCGAATAATTGTGTTAGGCGCTGAGGCAAACGAAATGAAAATTGGCTGGGAAAATGTCTGCCGGCTTACCTTGCGCGGCAGCTGCGGACCGATGAGGCGGGCGAAAAGGGCGCCGACGCACTGCGCCGCGGCGAGCAGCACATAGTTCAGCTCCGTGGAGTAGCCGGTGCGGCCCAGGAAATCGGCGGCATAATTGAGCTCCACAAAGACGCCGCTCAGCTTGCCGCAAATCGTTAGCAGAAAGCTAACACAGATCAAACGCACCACATAGCTGTGCCAAAAGGGCGCAGAGCCAATGCCCTTGCCCTGACCCTTCATTTCCGCCTTGAACTCGGCCAGCTCGTTCAGATACTCCGGCTGGTCGCGGTCATCAAGGTCACGTATGCCGCGGTACCAGCGCAGCGACTTCTCCAAGCTGGCCAAATCGCCCTTGTGCAAATAGTAATGCGGGCTTTCCTGCGCGAAGGGGAACAACATCGAGAAGGAACACGACAAAATGCAGCCCACAATATTCACATAATCGTAGGATACATAAAAGCCCAGCACAAAGCCCAATAGTATGCCCAATGTGCGCCACAGTTCAATGGTAAAGGTCAAACGGGCGGCCTTCTCCCGACTCTCGGCTATTTCATTGATAAAAATGGGCAGCACTACGAATGCCGCCCCAGCTGCCACGCCTCCAAATATGCGCGAGGCATAGATGTGCACAATGTCGAAGCCAAAGTGTATGGAGAACCAACCGAACTAAAAGCAGATAACAAATTAATGGTAAAAGGAAATGGACGTTTTAAGGAGTTTTGGATGTGAAACTTGGTAAATATGAGCTCGACATTCTATCTATAAGAAACTTCCGAATAATGCAAAAATTATTAGCTAGGCAGGTCCGTCAAATAAATATATACTTTAGTTGAGAGTTCTTGAGTCGGAGTTAATGAAATGTTTAGAGCATGTGAATAGTCTACTAAAATATAAGTTATGTTTAAATTCAAGACTATCTCTTTTATGAATTGACCCTCAGTAGGAATTCTGTAGAACAGACAGACGGACAGACACACCCGCGGCCAGATATCTATGGCTGTATCGAAATGAAGCTTGTCGGGAATATATGTATATCTTTTATATCTCGTCGTCTTCAGCTTAACCTTACACAACATTTATATACACAAACAATTAGTTAATGCCTTTAACTGTACGAATAATGTCTTCAAGTATAAATGCCACTAATTAATCGAGACTGTGATACATTAGATGGGATCAAGTGCAGGGTAAATGGGATTCGCCGGAAATTTGTTAAGCTCCGGATGACTTACAATCTGAAGTAGTCCACAGCAGAGCAGCACGGACTTGGGACCGATGCGTAATGCCAGGCAGCCGGAAAATGCGGCGCCCAGTGCGGCGCTCAGAAAGAGATAGCTAGTTAACCAGGCGGTGCCCGCCGGATCTGTGGCTGTGTTGAGGGGCGTTTGTGCCGCCGACTCGTAGAGAGTCATATGTGCCGGTGTGATGCCAAACATGAGGCCGAAGTTAAAGCAAATTAGATTACCTGCAAGAGTTTCAGTTTTTTAGCAGATGTTGGCGGCATCTTATGACAAATTCACCCACCAATGGCTGTCGCCAAGCTTTGTATGGCGGCGCCGCTGACGCGCTTGGGCAGGCACATCTTGAAGTCGTCCTGTGGTGCTCCGTGGAATCCAATTAAACCGTCTTGCGTGCAGATGCTGTTAAAACCGTGCGGAAGTGCATGTAAACTGAGAGGCTTTCAATGCATGCGGTGCGCCTTTTATGGCAGATTTATCTTATATCTAGCTACTTTTTATCTTAGTGCCGCGTGCGATAAGAGACTTGCACGGCGATCTGACGCTGTGCGCAACATGTTTTGAACCCAACCTGAAACCAGTCAACGGGGCCGTAACTGCGACCAGCTTGTTAGATGTGGCAGTTTTGTATACAATTATATGTATATATTTGCACAACGTGAGTCCACAAATGATGCCGCGATAAAATGCGTCTGTGTCTGGCTACACGTTTAGCCATGATGATGAAGAAATCTGATTTAACCTAGAGCAGATAACCTACCTGGGCTACCCAAATACGTGTGTATGTGTGTCGCCGAGAGGGGTATTCAGGCAACTATTGAACACTGGCACGCAACTCAATTGAATGCAGTACGCAAACTTGGTAATTAAACATCAATTAATTTCAATTAAAGTCAATTGTATGCAAAAACCATATGCATATTTATTTACTAAGGTACACCAAATTTCACATGCACTCTACCTTATGTAACATATTTGTTTATATATTGCGTTACACTTTTAAAAAATTAAGCTTAAACTAAACTTTAATTTTGAATTTAAATATATGAAGCCTTCAACTTGATCGTTTGTTATCGATAATAGTTAAGCAGCACAACAAAAGCTGGCTGCTATGACTGTCAGCAGCAGTGAGCAGAGCTGCACAGCTAATCGAACAGTTATCGACCAGCCGCCACTTGCAGCATAAGATCAGGCCGGGAAAATTTTAATTTGTTGTTTCTTAAATTAATTCATTTTAAACATCATGAACGCACAACCATGGACTGCGGCCTATGCAGCCAATGAAGCAATATGGCTAGCCAGCGATGCCAGCGCTGGCGACAAACAAAATGTATGGCGCGCACAAAAATTGTTACTGGCACACGCTACATGGTTATTGGAAATGGAAAACTCGCAGTTTTAGCAGCATTAAAGAATCCTTTAATCTTACAGCAACTCAAATGAAGCCAACCATTTTGATGTGCTTAAACAGCATCAAGATAAACGCGAAAGTGCCAGTTGCACGGAGGCGTACATGCAAGAATGTTTAACTGGCTGTCAAGAGCTGTTGGCCCAGAGTCGTCGTCGACATGCCCCTACTGGAATGCCCATGGAATGGTCCGTACCCCTTGGAAATGCGTTCGAGCGTCAATGTCGGGGCAAATATGAAAGCTGCATACGTGATGAAATCACAACAAACGAAATACAACGGCCCATGGGTAACAACAACAGGATACCACTCAGCACGCCAGTGTCCACAGCAGCAGCAGCAGCGTCGCCAGCTTTTGATGGATTTCGGACGGCACGTGAACAATTAATGCTGCATGATATGAAGGTAACCATGCATCTCATTATAGCCAAGTGCTGACAGCAGAAAATATAATATTGTCGCAAAACGGCTAATGGTAACGTTAAGAACCGAGTCGATATTTCGATTTCAAAGAATTCCAGTTTTGAAAAAAAACTATGTTCACTATGTTGCAAAGTTCACATGGGCCAATCAGGCGAAAATGTATTATAGCCACTTGTATTTTCAACCAATTTAAGAGCCGAGTCGATATTTAGGTTCCAACGAATTTCAGTTAAAAATAAAAAAACTATGTTAACTATGTTGCAAAGCTCCCATGGGAGAGCCACTTTCAGTTTCTCTCGCAAGTCGGCTACTTATGAGCCTCGGCTTGCTTCAAATATGTAAGCACAAATTTGTCAACAAATTTATTGACTAAATCTAATCAGAGTTGGATGATATATCATGTGGCTAAGTTCAGATTATATGTCTAAGAAAGTATTTCAGTTCCGGCACACCGTAGCTAACAGTTAATTTTTGTTCATTTCAGAAGAGCAAACAAAATGTTGCTGCTGGAACTGGATTAGGCAGTGGTGCAGGTGGCGCACCCAGTGATATCATGAACTACAGAAAAAAGTCGCTGGGTGGACGGGGACGAAGTGTAAGTGCCAAATTTGTGCAGCCGATTGGACAAAATGAAGGGTAAGTATAAACAGTGCAGGTAAAATCATATCAAGCTAATATTTACTCGTTAATCAAGTAATGTTGCTGCTGTACCTGTGAAGCAGGATGCCCCGGCTACGCCTGCCGTGGCAGTGCCACCCTCTTTGGCACATTTGGATCCCCTAATGGTTGAACAGATTATGAGAGAGAGCATGCATAAATACAAGCCAATAGGTGAGTGCAGTTACAGAAGAAATCGTTTATGTGTCTAAGGGCTTTTGTTCCATCATCTTACAGCTTGGGAGGATATAGCCGGTCTGGAGTATGCAAAATCAACATTTATGGAAACCATTATACATCCCCTACAGCGTCCAGATTTGTTCAAGGGCGTGCGCCGTCCACCACGCGGTGTTTTGTTGTTTGGCCCACCTGGCACTGGAAAAACTCTAATAGCCAAGTGCATTGCCTCTCAGTCAAGGGCAACGTTCTTTAGCATTAATCCGTCCTCGCTAACCTCCAAGTGGGTGGGCGAAGGTGAAAAACTGGTCAAGACGCTATTTGCTGTTGCCGCCGAGCATCAACCAGCCGTAGGTTAGGCCTAATTGGTATAACCAATATTAACCTTTACTTTCTTGTAGATTATATTTATGGATGAAGTGGATTCATTGCTGTCGCAGCGCTCGGATAACGAGCATGAAAGCTCAAGGCGATTGAAAAACGAGTTTTTTATACAATTAGATGGCGCTGCAACGAACGAAGATGATCACATTGTTATCATCGGTGCTACTAACCGCCCCCAGGAGCTTGACGAAGCCGTCCGTCGGCGGTTTGTGCGACGTATCTACGTTTCGCTACCTGCGGCGCCAGCACGTCAACAGATAATCGAGAAACTTATACAACAAGTGCATCATAACCTTGATAAAGCACAGGTTCAAGGGCTAGCTGAGTTAACTGAAGGGTATTCGGGCGCAGATATGGATAGCTTATGCCGTTATGCGGCCATGCAGCCGCTGCGAGCTCTAAGTAGCTCAGAGATAGACGCAATTGACGCACAGCAGGTAAAATATGACAGTAAATTATGTAAAATTTGTTGTTTAGCTTGGGGAAAATTCTGGATAATTTTTATTCCTGTACAGCTGCCTGCCGTAACCATGTCGGACTTTATGTGCGCACTGCAACATGTCTCAAAAAGCGTCTCACCGGATGATGTAGAGCGTTACGTGGCGTGGAATAAAATTTATGGAATTAAGCATTAAATAAGAACAACAACGCAGAGTTTTTCTGACGCATTTATTGAAATCCTTGTTGCGATATTTTCGCTTATATATTGACAGGTAGAGTGATACACTGCTTGTACTTATATTTCGCTATCTTCACATTTACTTAGATTTATCACGTGAATTAATGTCGAGGTTGTCATATATATATATATACAGATATATATAAACATATTGTGGAATGCTATGACATAGACCGTCATTTACAGACATATTAAGAGCTACTTAAACAGGGTTTACAAACATTTATGTTAATTAACAATATTGTGTTTTTTAGCTCACAGCACATCAAACTTTGTATTCGTATACAGCAGAATTGAATAACATTTAGATTTCGACTAGGTTCTAGTGGGCTTTTGATCAAGCTGCCTCGAGCAATGCTTTATAAAAGCATAACAAAAGGTTGGAATTAGTCTTTAAAAATACATTTAGATTTAACTTAAATAACAATTGTACTAATTAAATTGCATTTCAACATTTACTCTTTAATCGGTGGAAACACATAATCATCACTCAGACTGTTAATGTCCACATAGGTGGTCTTCGGGCTTAATACCTTGTAAAGTGCATCAAATGTGGGCCGCTCTTCGGGCTCCTCCAGCCAACACTGCAGCATTATTGTGTACACCTGAGGTGTACAAATCTCGGGTCGCTCCAGACGATTGCCCGCTAATAGAAACGGTATCAGCTCGCTGTTGCTTATGGTGGGATATGGCGATGCGCCGAGCGTGCCAATCTCCCAGAGCACCACACCGTAGGCCCAAATGTCGCTCTTGCTCGAGTAGACATTATCCCGTATGGCTTCAATGGAAAGCCATCGCAAAGGTAGCTGCATGTTAAATAAATAATAAAAAATTAACTTATAATTCTGACTTCGTTTCATTTGAAGGACCCACCTTGCGTGTTTTGGTATTTGTGTAGATGCCATGTCTAGACAGACCGAAATCTGATATTTTCAATGTCTTATTGTTGTCGATTAGTACATTGCGCGCTGCCAGGTCGCTGAGGATTAGGATTTTTAAAGGTATTGTGAATATGACAATATAACAAATATTTAATTAGGGAAATCAATTTAAGTTGTATATACATATATAAATATTATAGCTATTATCAGCTCAGTTTAGTCTGATGTCCTATTTATATTAACATAAATAGCTGTTAATTAAGTGCGATTACCGCTTTAATTATTTATGTCAACAAATAGCATTGAAACAATAACCTACGTTTCATACCATATCAATTTGTCCTTTACAAAGCGTTTTTAATTAAGCATTTCGCAAAATTCGGCTATTCAAATATTCATGTGATACTTCGAAACTAATTATATTCATAAATGTAAACAATTGTGGATATAATGACGTTGCCCTTGATTTACTCTGTACTCCTTTGAAACTCTATGAATATCCTCGTCCCTTAATATAATCTCGTGAATTTTCAGAGGACGCAACGCTCACAATAGTTTAATTAATTAATTTGTGTAGTAAATCAAGATACAAGAACCCCCCATTTCTAGTGGTTACAGGGTATAAAGCATTCACAATTTATGTATTACGACTGAAAATATTTTATAATGCGCTTAAAACATTGCTGGCTTAACCAAAATTCATTTGTCGTGTACATTCGAAACCACATGTGGTCACAGGGGCTAAGGAAGGCGGGCTTACACAAGGGGCTAAGCTTGCCATGTTAATACCAACAAAAACACACACAACCTGAAAAAGCCACAGAACTAAGCGCGCGTCGTGTGAGAGCTAGAAAGCTGAAATTTTCACTGTAGTTGCCTGCGATGAAGGTGCACTTTAAAACGGGGTTTCAGGAAATTCCACCCGCATGTCTAGAAAAATCAGTTTAAAACTCATTTTCAAAGATCTTCAGAGAATTGATTTTAAACGTGCCACGGGCAAGGGGTATACCCGCTATTATCCTATGTAGACATAGGTCGAAATTTCCCACTCGCTTAACTCGGTCAAAACTCAACCGATTTTCATGAGTCTTGGCTTTTTGTACATAATTTTCCTTCTAGATTAATCTGTCATTCAAATCTGAATACATAATTTGTGGACGAAATTCATGTCCAAATCTTACCCTAAGATTCATAGATAGACATAGGTCGAAATCTCCCAACCTCATAACTCGGTCAAAACTCAACCGATCTTCATGAGTCTTGGCTTTTTGTACATAGTTTTCCCTCTAGATTAATCTGGCATTCAAATCTGAATACACAATTTTAAGTCGAAATTCATGTCCAAATCTTACCCCTGAGATTCATATATAGACATAGGTCGAAATTTCCCACTCCCATAACTCGGTCAAAACTCAACCGATCTTCATGAGTCTTGGCTACTTGTACATAGTTTTCCCTCTAGATTAATCTAGCATTCAAATCTGAATACACAATTTTTAGTCGAAATTCATGTCCAAATATTACCCTAAGATTCATAGATAGACATAGGTCGAAATCTCCCAACCTCATAACTCGGTCAAAACTCAACCGATCTTCATGAGTCTTGGCTTTTTGTACATAGTTTTCCCTCTATATTAATCTGGCACTCAAATCTGAATACATAATTTGTGGTCGAAATTCATGTCAAAATCTTACCCCTAAGATCCGTATAGAGACATATGTAGGTCGAAATTTCCCAACCTCATAACTCGGTCAAAACTCAACCGAATTTCATGAGTCTTGGCTATTTGTACATAGTTTTCCCTCTAGATTAATCTGGCATTCAAATCTGAATACACAATTTTTAGTCGAAATTCATGTCCAAATCTTACCCCTGAGATTCGTATATAGACATAGGTCGAAATTTCCCACTCCCATAACTCGGTCAAAACTCAACCGATCTTCATGAGTCTTGGCTTTTCGTACATAATTTTCCTTCTAGATTAATCTGGCATTCAAATCTGAATACATAATTTGTGGTCGAAATTCATGTCAAAATCTTACCCCTAAGATTCGTATGTAAACATAAGACGAAATTTCCCACCTCGGTCAAAACTCAACCGATTTTCATGAGTCTTGGCTTTTTGTACATAGTTTTCCCTTTAGATTAATCTGGCATTCAAATCTAAATACATAGTTTTTACTCGAAATTCATGTCCACATCTTACCCCTGAGATTCGTATATAGACATAGGTCGAAATTTCCCACTCCCATAACTCGGTCAAAACTCAACCGATTTTCATGAGTCTTGGCTTTTTGTACATAGTTTTCCCTTTAGATTAATCTGGCATTCAAATCTAAATACATAGTTTTTACTCGAAATTCATGTCCAAATCTTACTCCTAAGATCCGTATAGAGACATAGGTCGAAATTTCCCAACCTCATAACTCGGTCAAAACTCAACCGATTTTCATGAGTCTTGGCTATTTGTACATAGTTTTGCCTCTAGATTAATCTGGCATTCAAATCTGAATACACAATTTTAAGTCGAAATTCATGTCCAAATCTTACCCCTGAGATTCATATATAGACATAGGTCGAAATTTCCCACTCCCATAACTCGGTCAAAACTCAACCGATCTTCATGAGTCTTATCTTTTTGTACAAAATTTTCCTTCTAGATTAATCTGGCATGCAAATCTGAATACAAAATTTTTAGTCGAAATTCATGTCCAAATCTTACCCTAAGATTCATATATAGACATAGGTCGAAATTTCCCAAAGTCATAACTTGGTCAAAACTCAACCGATCTTCATGAGTCTTATCTTTTTGTACATAATTTTCCTTCTAGATTAATCTGGCATTCAAATCTAAATACATAATTTTTACTCGAAATTCATGTCCAAATCTTACCCCTAAAATCCGTATAGAGACATAGGTCGAAATTTCCCAACCTCATAACTCGGTCAAAACTCAACCGATCTTCATCAGTCTTGGCTTTTTGTACATAGTTTTCCCTCTATATTAATCTGGCATTCAAATCTGAATACATAATTTGTGGTCGAAATTCATGTCAAAATCTTGCCCCTAAGATTCGTATGTAGACATAAGACGAAATTTCCCACCCCCATAACTTGGTCAAAACTCAACCGATTTTCACGAGTCTTGGCTTTTTGTACTTAGTTTTCCCTCTAGATTAATCTGGCATTCAAATCTGAATACACAATTTTTAGTCGAAATTCATGTCCAAATCTTACCCCTAAGATT